AGTATTGATACTTTTACTCCATTAATTTTCTTTAACCTGTAGTCACTACTTTATCTTTCTTGTCTATGGGAATTAGAAAACGTCCAACTTAAAATCAACCAAATATCTAACAATCAGACCAATCGTCTAACAATGTTACAGCTTGATGTTGGGTGGACGTTACCACTATGATGTCTATTAGACGTTAGATTTTGGTTGCCATATCTGACGAATAAATGTCTAATTCTTTTAGATATATTCTTATGTAAAAGGTTCACATTTATGCAACCAATAGTTAATAAATTGGTTGTTTTGTTCCATTCTTACTGGTGCTGATTTTCGTTCTCAGTTTGATCTAGCCGTTCATACATTCCACTCAACGAAATAGGTGAAAGTAAAGTATTTATTATTTGTGCTGATATCAGATTTGTATCAGTATCGGTTCGTATTGAAGGCTGCAATATCGGTATCGTATCGGAAGGTAAAATGTTGTATCGGGACATCCCAAGTAATCAGGCAAGTAATTGTATAACAGTGGTTTGTTCTTTTTTTGACAATCAAAAATAAAAATTGCTTAAGGGGCTGATAATTTTGACCCTAAAATGGTTTAAAAAAAATTAAAAACTGCTTTTATTTTAGCTGAAATAAAACAAATAAGATTTTATCAAGAAGAAAAAATATTATAGGAAATACTGTGAAAAATTCCCTGCTCTGTTATTCATCGTTTGGGAAATATTTGAAAAAGAAATTCACAGGAGGGCGAATAATTTAGACTTAAACTGTAAATATGAAGAGTTTAGATGCAAAAACCTCAAAATGTTGTCTGAAATTTTCCTCTAAAATTAGTATTTTCATCAGGCTCCTTTGTGTATGTTTAGTAATATTACTTTCATGGCAAAGAATAAATTATTTTCTTGGTCTTAACATAAACTTAGGAGACTGAGAATTTTTTTTAATGTTTGATAGAAATTTCAGACGGCACTTAGAGGTTTTTGCATCTGAACTCTTCATATATACATATATTAGGGATACTTATACCCCTCAAATATGGTGTTCATCATGCTAAAATGTATAAATAATGTTGTGAATAAAAACACATTGCTGTCGAGTACATTATGAAGGTATAAAACTGTTATTTATGCAGGTCTCACACCGCAGGAGTGCAGACTAATGCAGATCTGAATATTAATGACCATATATGATGCAAACAGCACTCTAATGCGATCAAAATCACATCACTGCTTTCAGAAAAAGGTTTATAAAGGGTATCGCTTTTATTTTTCAGCACAGGAAGTTAGATCAGGAAGGAAACGGTTATTTATGTTGCACTTTTTCCACTGTGCCACACCTTTTATAAAGCGCTCGCTGTGAACTGAACATGACATTTACAGATGTGGACACACACACACCCTCTTACCTCACTCACTGCTGGGCCAACCTCAGGAAAACAAACTTTATCCCAAACGCCACCAAACATAACCCTCGCTTAAATAAAGCTTATGAGCTATATGAGCTGGAAATCATCTGTTCTGGCGGTGGCCGATTCTTACCAGTAACCACCATCAACACGGCTGCTGATCTAAAGTCCAGCAGCTCCCTAAATTCATAATGTTAACGTCTACTTTAAAATGACGATCTCAGACATTACCTCAGTGTTGTGAGATTGCATGAGTGATGTTTTCAGCTCATCAACATTATATATACGTCTACAGTACCTGTATCTGAGTGATGGAATGGAAAAACTGCTGATTCGGGATAATCCTTAATTATCATGTATAATATTAAAAGTTAACTGTAATTTTAGTGTGATTTAAAATGCATAAAAACATATGTAATTCTACACAATATTTAAAACATTCACCCTGATCATTTTGAATCAACATTTCAGAAAAAAACATCTTTCTTTATATTGTCTTTAGAGGATAGTTTACCCCAAAAAATGTAAATGTACTCTCCCTCAAGTGTTTCCAAACTTTTGAGTTTCTTTCTTCTGTTAAACAAAAAAGAAGATATTTTGAACAAAGCTTAAAATCTGTAACCATTAACGAGTTAAACTCGTTAACTGGATTTTGCTTACCCAAATTTAAAAGCTTCCCAAATCCACATGCAGAGGTGTAAATGCAAAAATTTGGCATCATTTTAAAGAAAACCCTTTGTATTTTCAGAAAACATTATTGAAAGTGTTTAAAATATCTATATATGTTGTCTGTGTTATAATAAACATCTAAAAAAGGCGCTTTTTGTATATTTTTATAAACTCAAATTTGAAAGTGTACCTTTTACACTGTAAACCCTAATGTTGTCTTTACTTAAACAATCAAGTAAAGTTGACTGAACATCACTTAAAGTTTGGCATTTTGGTCCTGTCACCATATAAAATATGAGTTAATTTAACTTATATACAATGAAAATGCATAAACTTAAGATTTCAAGTGTAGTGAGCTCAAAATCACAATTAATCCTTAAAAAGAATAGGTCATTTTAAATTTAGTTTTGACTGTAAAATTCTAATATGTGCAACCTTTTAGCAAGTTCTTTTTTTAATCAGATAACAAGGCTTCATGTATTCACCATAATGGAAATAAATGAAAAAACAAACAAACGTATTTTTCTTTTTTTAAACATTTTTTCATAGCATATAATTACACACACACACACACACACTAAACTGAACCATTTAAGTATAATCTATCAAACTGGCAAGTTAAATAAACTTAAATATGGAAGTTTTGGGAGACTTCGTTACTTAATTAAATTGAGGCAACGAGTTTACTCAATTTCGTTCAGTCAACTTATTAGGGTTGTCAGTGTAGGTTGTGTGTGGTCTAGCGTGCTGTAATTAGTTTTGGTGGTTCCTGCACATGTCTGTAATCATAGGAAAAAAAATGTCTCTATCATAATGCAAAAGTTATTGTATTCCAACTGATGAGAGGTGCTGTACAAGCCACAGGGAGAGATCATTGTATTCATATTTCACTATTCTTTTGTTTGATCAAACATAATTCACTGTGTTTGGACCACGTCAGACATATAAAAGCATTACTTATGCACATCACCTCAAAAACAGAGGAGAATGGCCCTGAAGCGCACAGCATAAGGTAAGAGATGACAGCTGTCTGTGCTATCTGGGGCTGCTTAGTGATCATAAATGTATTGTTTACACTTCTGCGCCATGGAAACACCGCGATTCATTCGGCAACTGATTGATATGTGAATATAATTCAGTAAAAAGAATGCTAGAACCGTATGAGCACCGGCAAGAGCTTTCATTTGAGCTATAACTTGTACATGTGTCATATGAAAAATATGAAGATGAACCAATGTTCAATACCCAGCTCGGGTCTCCAAAATACTGTGGATTTAAGTGTAAATAACTTTTGTACAGTAGAATAAAAACCAAAGTGATGCATATGTGTATTAACTATAGATTCTACACTTTCAAACGAAACCACTTACGAGGGTCTGGTGCAATGCTAGCCCTTTAAATCTTAAAGCGAAAGTCAATGACGTCTCGGACCTGGTACCGTGTGTAACTGGTTAACTTCCTTAGAGGGAAAAACAAATACTATAGAAGTCAATAGTTATAGATTTTAGGCATTTTTCAAAATATCTGTTTTTGTGTTTAACAGAAGAAAGAAACCCACATTTTAAATGAATAAAGGGCAAGAAAATGATGACTGAATTTTCACTTTTGGCTGAACTATCCCTGTAAAATATAATGATAGTATTAGGGCTGCACAGTATGTCGTTTCAGCATTGTGTTCACAATGTGCAAATCTGAAATAGTCGCATTGCAGGATCTGCAATGTCATTTAGGGATTAATGAAAAACTTAATCAAATCTAAAAGCTTCTAATAGTGTGAAAGATTTTCGTTTGAATGTGTTTTTAAGGTCTGTGACTAATATTTTAATCTGATTAAAAGCATTTGGAAACAAGAAATTATAAAGTTTGCCACTTTACCAAAGATGAATGTATTCAATTATTTTAAGAGTTCGCACTTAGCTATTGCTTGATATTAATAGCAGGTTTGGCATGCTTTCCAGGAAGAGAACCCTGAGCTCGAAGATAATTGAGACTACCTGGTCAATGAGCATGTAAGGGGGGTACGAGATTAAGTAGTTTTCGAGAGCTCCCCCTGGTAAAGGAGGAAAGGGAGGAGATGGGGTGGATGGGGGGATTCTTCGTAAATAAAGATAAGGGCGTAGTTTTAGACGGGCTACTTATCCGCTTGTTAAGTGTGACGTCACGCGAAGCGGCTTCCGGGTCCAAGCGCTCTATTCAACTGTTTACTATGCGATTTTATACTTTCAAAAGTCACGATCGCAATATATATGTCCATGCCTAATATCCGATGGCCAGAAAGTGTTTATTTTTTTTATAAATTGTTAAAATTTTGGTATTTGTTATGCAGCAAGCCCACAGATTGTTGTGTACACTATGACTTTATGTAAAATTAACTTTAATGTGTGATAGGAATAAAACGCGATCATAAACGAAAGATTTCTCCACTCAAATGAGTGGCGGCTTGGACCCGGAAACAGTATACATACGTCACAAACACGTCACCACTTAACAAGCGGATAGTGAGTTTGGATTAATCTGATTGGCTTACTAATGATTATAGATGAGAGACCAGCTGCGATCAATCATATCAAGTGCTCCTCTCAAAATTAGCTCGTGAAACTTCACTTATACAATGAAGACTTTACCGTGTTTATTTACATTTAATGTTGCATTTCTGAACGTCTGAACGCTGTTTACTTTATCTTTGTTCTCATGTTTCCACCTGTGCTTTGTTATTTTATATATTTTTGTTTAATTTGGTATATTTTATGCAGATGCACTATCATACAAAATCATCCTAATCAATGTAAAATTATGAATTCTTTCCAAATGAAGTTACTTAAGTCATCTTGTGAATTTATATTCATACACAGAAAAACAAATGATCTCCATGTTGGTTTTTGTCCTGTGCAGCTCTAGATAGTATCCTAAAATACTACATTTGATCTTAGTGTACCTTGCAGGGTGTCCCATCAGCAGCCAGAGCTCCTCTGTGTGGCACCTGGTACAGGTCATTGGATGGAGGGGTTTGGTAGATGCTCTGGTGAGACGGCGGCACCTGGTAAACCCCCTGCGGTGTGAGCGGCCTCTGTTGAAGGGTGTGGCTGTGTGGCGGAGAGGGCGTGGCTGGTGTCTGTCCATCAAACATTGGACCAATAAGCAGTTTGAGGCGGTTGCCAGGGGCGATGCCCTGGCGGCCGTGCAGCGAGCAGAGCCACCATCCCTCTAGACCACCAGTGTTCTGCTCAATGACAGTCAGGATATCTCCCTTCCTAAACGCAAGCTCCTCTGGAGACTCCGGCACATTGTCATATAGCGCTTTGGCCATCAGGTTCTGCAAAACAAGAAATTATTAGATTAATTCAGGGAATGATGCAGGAAGTCATTTGCGCTTAGATTGTATAATTAATGTCATATTAGATGGTTAATATATGTATCAATATGGTACATATTTTACAAATACTGTAAAAGCAGTACATATATAATAATTATATATAATAAATCATATATAAATATCTACAAAATATGTGCTAGTAAGATGACCTAGATCCATTTTATAGATTAAATGTTCAAATTTGACATCATCTGACCTACAGTAAATTCCTTAGTCGCCATATTCACTAAAGTCTTTTATTAAAATGTTATGATTCAATATTACAATATTTACTATAACGTTATATGCAGGGATCCTAAAGGTAATTTCAATATCTTTTTATGACTTTTTAAAAACGTTCTCAGAATATTTTAAGATTTTGTATCGCCACTTCAAGTTCTAATCAGTATAAAACCTTTAACTCAGGGGTCACCAATCTCGGTCCTGGAGGTCCGGTGTCCCTGCAGGGTTTAGCTCCAACTTGCCTCAACACTCCTGCCTGGATGTTTCAAGCGTAGATATATACATTAGATGTCGCCTGGCCTATTTTTGTCTATTGGACGGAATGCGTCAATAGCGCCGCCATCTTGGTACAGGGTAGCGCTTCTTTGAAATGAATGCGGGACCAAGGTACAGTGGAGGACTGTGGCCATCCAAAGCTAGAGATATACACATATATCTATGATCGGTAGTTTTCCTGGATGTTAGTATTCAATTTTTTTTTCTAATTACGAAATATATAATTTGACATCACTATTCTACATTGATGGATCAGTGATCGCACGGGCATTCCTGACAAAAAGCTTGTGTTTGTGTGAACAGAAATGTATTATCCAGCCTCCCTGTTAAATTTGATCTAATCATGTCCTGAAACACAGCTCCTCTCCTGCTTTCACTGCTCATACTGACGGAGGGAGCGATTGGTTTGTGAATGAATCCCCCGAACGATCCCCTTTCACTAACGTTAGCCGACAATAGTACAGGTTTCTGGCAGCGCAGCATCTCGTTGTCATATTTCTTTTGCATTGTTTGCTGATTTTATTCCTCAAAACTAGCATAAGCCGAGTGTTTAGTGCGAGTTGGAGCTGCTTTGCCGTATGGTGAATGCAGTAAGTGACTGTTATCATCAATAACGCTACCTGATTAGCACAAAAGTTCAGAACATACAAAAACAGAAAAAAACTTAATATTACCTATGAAATGTTCTGCCTTTGTGCTTTGTTTTCTTTGTTTGCTCGTTACTACACCCGTAGACAGCGCTAAAGTCCCGCATCTTCACCTAATAACACTGTCTTGACTAGTGCGGTTGAATGACATTTGTCCTGGGAGCACTGTACCAATGTGGCGGCGCTATTGACGCATGCTCAGGGTCCCTATGCGATATCTAGTGTATATATCTATGGTTTCAAGTATATCTAGTAAGACCTTGACTAGCTTTTTCAGGTGTTTGATTAGGGTTGGAGCTTAAATCTGCAGGACACCGGCCCTCCAGGAACAAGTTTGGTGACCACTGCTTTAACTTTTGTTAATAAACAGTTGTAGTGAAATAAGTCGCACTCTGGCCCGAACCAATTAGAAGGAAAATATATAATATAATAAAATAAAATATATAGTTATGTTTTTTTGGAGTCAAACAACTTGGACAATGCTTGAACAAAATTTAAGATTTCGTAAAAATGTGATTAAGACTTTTTAATAACTTTTAAGGACCTTAATTTTCTCATAATTGATTTATCAACTCTTAATACTTTTTAAGACCCCGCGGACAGCCTGTATAACTTATTTATCCTTTTTTTTTTTAAATCATGTCTCCTCATTCAAAACAACTTTCCTTCTTTATCAACATCTCTTCATTAATTACATTTTTGGTATGTGATATAGCAAATCATCCGATCAAATCCTCATGGACAATATCAAGTCCTTCCTTACATTCATTTTCATAGAGAAACACAGGCTACCGAAACCTCCATTTAAAGCTTTGTTTAATATTAACAGATTTACATTACCATTTTAGTACATGAGAAAATGCTCACGCTAACCGCTAAGTATCGCATGATTTGTTCAGTATTATCACAGTCACTGAGGCATGATCTAGACATATTATATGATTACATACAGTGATTTTTGGACTCCTTTCGTGAGCTCTTGTGGGCTGAATTATTAAGCGGCTCCCTGTAATATCACAATTAGATGTCTAAAAAACATCCACGTAACCCTATCCATGTCGTTTGCCGGGCCTCCTGGGAGTTTCCTTTTGAAAGAAACCGCTTCATCCGCAGCGCCTCGATAATAACTCAAACTCAAACTGAACGTCTGGCCGAGACGACCCACATCGGGCTAGGAAAATAATCATAAAATCTGCTCTGAGGACTCCATAGCCAAAACATATTTCTCTGAGGGCCTGTGCTGGAAAACCATTTTTCTGTCAATCACTTCCAAACCACTGGAAGATAAAAACTCCATGAGCGGCATTGGCAGGATTGAGTTCACATCATGCCAGTCCACAGGATGTTTCATATCACTTCATATTTTACATTCTCTTGTGTAAGACTGGAGTTTGACAACCTTTATAAAGCAATATTTCAGAGCTCTGGTGTGTTTGGATTATATTGTACCCAATTTAGTAAAGACAAAGCATTTTAAAGTTTAAAAATATCACTCATCAATTGTCCCATAAAACAGAATGTTCACCTGTGGGTTTGGGGAGATTCATATTTATATACATAAAATAGTCAGGAAATAAATACTTAATCAGGAAAGAGACAGATTACTGCTGAATCGTTCAATTCAAATTCAGTTTAAAATCAATTCATTTTGAGTTTACATTCGAATACAAATTTAAATTCAGATTCAGTTTAAATTCATTTAATTTTTAGTTTACATTCGAATTCATATTTAAATTCAAATTCAGTTTAAATTCCCTGAATATTAAGTTTATATTCGAATCTACATTTAAATTTAAATACAAATTCAGTTAAATTGCATGAATACTAAGATTATATTCAAATATAAATTTAAATTCAAATTCAGTTTAAATTCACGTCATTTTGAGTTTGTATTCGAATCTAGACTTAAATTCATATTCAGTTTAAATTCACTTCATTTTGAGTTAACATTTGAATCCAGATTAAAATTCAAATTCAGTTTAAATTCACTTCATTTTGAGTTTACATTTCGAATCCAGATTTATTTAAATTTAGTTTAAATTCATTTCATATTAAGTTTACATTCGAATCCAGATTTAATTTAAATTCAGTTTAAATTCACTTCCTATTAATTTTACATTGTAATCCAGATTAAAATTCAAATTCAGGTGAAATTCACTTCATACTGAGTTTACATTCAAATCCAAATTTAATTTAAATTCTGTTTAAATTCACTTCATATTGAGTTTACATTGGAATCCAGATTTAATTTAAATTCAGTTTAAATTCACTTTATATCGAGTTCACTTTTGAATCCAGATTCAAATTCAAATTCAGTTTAAATTCACTTAAAATTAAGTTTATATTACAAGTTCAAATTCAGTTCACGTCAATTCAATTAACATTAAAATTTTTAGATGATTGCTTATTTTTTGCTACATTTTTATGGTTTATTTCAGTTCACATTTACATATATATTCAAACTGAATTGAAATAAGTTCTGTTTACATTCAAATTTGACACTTCTAGAATTGAGAAGATTCTAAATCTGTTTAAACCAGATTTAGACTAGTAGTTTGTTGTTTAAATTAGATCAGTTAGATTCATATTGACTTCACTTTAACATTTACATTCAAATCCACATTTAAATTAAACACACCAATTCAGTTTACAATCAAATTCTAACTAGATGAGAAGATCCGACATCTGTCTTTTCACATTTCTACAGTATTTGGGATGTCATTTTCTGGTTTACTGATAAGGCTTTAATCGCAGTCTATCACTAACACTCCCCTATCTTCGCTTTGAACACCGTGTGTATCAGCCTTTCCTCAGGTTTTCTCTTAGCAGACTTTGTGTGCTTTCTTCGGCATTGCTTTTCCCACAATGTTAAGTAAACGCGTTCCCACGTGAACCTTCCTGTTTGAGCGGCATCATTATCTGCAATTGGGCGTCTGGTCGCATGGCTATTGTCTCACATTCATGGCCTCGGTCACCCGCATTAGGGCATGACAACATCCCCCGCGGCGAAAAACCACAGCACACTAATACAGTGAGCTTAGGAGCATGACCTCTAGGGTCACCATTGTCTAATAGGAGCGTTTTGTGTTCAGCTCGTAGCATTCAGACTGTTTAGGGTTTATTTGCTCACAGGAACAGAAAACTTAGTGAATAGGAGGAAAGGCAGAGAATTAAAAAAGGCATGAGAAAATCGTAGGTTGAATTGATTAATGGTATATCTTTTCTAAAGAAGAATTCTTATTTTAATTTGAACGAAAAATGTGCATTTAATTGCTTGGTCACACTATTTTATTGTATATTTCATGCTATTAACTAACCACTGGAATTAACTAAGACTTTTAGCTTAATAAGCTACTAATTAGCTGCTAATTAATACTTAAGGTAGTAGTAGAGTTTGGGTATTGTAAAAAAATCGTGCTCACTTAACTTTTCTAGTCATTTCAAACTAAATCAATCAAACTCACTAATATTATTAAGTTAAACTTTGCATAACTTTAAACAATTAAGTTTAAGAAATCTGATCAACTTATCAAAATAAGTTAAAGCAACATAAATATTTGTCTTGACTTTTTGTCATTAATTTTAGAGTGTATTTGATAGGATTATGGATATAAAAATAAGATCATATATTATAAAAAGCCAATAAACAGTTCATATTTTGATAATAAGTCACTAGTAAATGATGTGAATTGTTGAATTGAAGTGTTGACAATCATTTTTATTAGCTTGTTGGTTTATCTAATGCGGTAGCTAATCAGTTCTTTTTGATGGCTTGATTGTGTTTATGCCTAATTT